TCACATCCACTAATCTGGGACAACTGCAGGTAATGCAAATGGAGCGGGGGGCGGGGATCAGTTTTGGGCATGTTGGGCTTGATATAGGAGCCCTGGTGGTGCAGTGGTTGAAAGCTTGGCTGCTAACCAAAAGGTCAGCAGTTCAAATCTACCAGGCACTCCTTGGGAGCTCTATGGGGCAGTTCTACTCTGTCCTATAGGGTCACTATGAGTCAGAATTGACTCAGCGGAAATGGGTTTGGTTTTTTGGATCAAGTGGAACTGTCAGGAAGGCAAGTGCATCTACAAGTTTAGAGCTGGGGAGGAAGATTTAGGCTGAGGGGAAAAGTCTAGGAGTCCCTAGCACATCATCATAAACAGCAATTAATCAGCCAATTGTGTGAGTTGGGTCTAATACTAAATTCAGAAAGAAAGATCAGAGAAGTTGAAAGAGTTGTGTGTCTTCTGTTCACAGACACAAATAGTAGAGCTGGTATTGCCCTTCCAAGCCCCACTTGAGGACAGTCGGGATTCTAATAATGACCAAAGTCATTCACATTTTGTGTGAATTCCTTTCAACAGATTCAGTTCAAAAAAAATTTCTTGAGCACCTGCTACATACCAAAAACTGTTCCTACAACAACAAAAAGACAAATCCAATCAAAAAATGGGCAAAGGACTTGAACGAAAAGGAATGTTACTGAATTATACAAATATACTGAATTCCACCAAAGAGGACATTCAAATGGCCAACAAACACATGAAAAGATGTTCAACATCATTAGCCATCAGAAAGATGTGAATCAAAACTACAATGAGATACTACTGCACTTCTGTTAGAATGGCAATAATCAAAAAAAAACCCAAAACACAGAAAACAACAGATGTTGGTGAGGTTGTTAGAGAAAATGAAGCCCATCCATTGCTGGTGGGAATGTAAAATGGTACAGCTACTATGGAAAACAGTATGATAGAACCTCAAAAAGTTGAACACAGAACTACCATATGACCCAGGGATCCCAATCCCAGGTATATACCCAGAAGTGAAGGCAGAAACACAAACAGAAACCTGTACAGCAATGTTTATTGTAGCTCTTTTCACAATAGCTAAAATGTGGAAACCACCAAAATGTCTCTCAACAGATGAATGGATAAAAAAAAATGTGGTATATTCACACAATGGAATATTACTTAGCCACAGAGACAAATGAAGTTCTGTACATGCCACAACACTGAGGAACTTTGGAAAATCTCGTGCTGGGCGAAATCATTCAGCAGCAAAAGGACAAATATTGTGTGATCTCACTTATATGAAATAAGAAAATATATAGAAAACAAAGAGTTTTAGTAGTTACCGGCGGTGGAAGGGAGGGTAAAACGGGGAGTTTTTGCTTAGAGGGCATTGAGTTTATGTTAATGATGGTGAAATGATTTGGAAAAGGGTAGTGAGAATGGCTGCACAACTTAAAGAATGTAAAATCGCTGTCACTGAATTGTACATGTAGAAATTGTTGAAATGGTGTATGTTTTGTTATGTATATTTTCACCACAATCACATTTTAAAAGAAAAAAAAACTGCTTCAAATGTTGAAGACAGAAAATTCTCCTGGCATCTCGCAGAAATCAGCTAATGCAAAGTACATTCAATGGCGGAGGGTGGTGGGGAGGAACTTAGGTAGGGTGTGAAAGTTGGGAGACAACTTTGGCTAGCCCAAAGACAGCAAGAAAATTCATTAAGAAGATGGGAAAGAGACTCAGGAAGTAGAAGAGGTGTGACAAAAGGGGATTGGTAAATCATCAGTTATAAATATGAGTAAGAAAAGTGATTATTCCTAACATAAATATTGCCTTTGGCAGGACTGTATTGATTACTGAGGCCTGATTTAACAACTGGAATGTTAAGAAGTGACGATGTAGACAGATTATTTAAGTGGTTCCCAAACTTTGCTGCACATTGGAATCATCTGGGGATCTTTAATAATTATTGATGACTGGCTCCCACCCCCCTGATGTTCTGATTTAATTGGTATTTACAAAGTCCTCCCAGGCGACTCTAATGTTCAGCAAAGTTTGAGACAGGGCTTCGAACCAGTTAGTTCAGGTT